TTGTAATGCTATCTAGTTCATCCACGACTTGAATCATCTTTTCTAGTTCTTCTGGACAGACATCAGGGCAATGAGTGAAGCCAAAATAAATCAATAACCACTGACCCAAGTAGTCCTTGTCAGTTTTATGCTCCCCAGTATGAGTTGTGAGGGAAAATGGTCCCCCAAGTAAAGGCTTGCCGATCTGTCGCTGCTGTTCCTTCTCTAACTTCTCTGCCTTTTCTTTCTTCATGTACTTCATTCCAGCCAGTAAAGCTCCTCCAAAAGCAAATGTGATTGCTAAAGACTTCCAGGAAACAGGCCCGGACTTCGAGGGGCGCGTGGAGTCTCTGGGGCCCTTCTCCGACCACGGGGGTGGGGGTGGCGGCCTCGCCGTGCTGAGGGGCCGGGTTCCTAAGCAGTAGCCAGGGAGCCCCGAGGCACGCCACACCTCCGCTTGCCGCGCGCAGAACTGCCTCAGCAAGACTGTCGCAGTCCCCTCGGCTGGGCCCCAAAGCTCGAGTCCGCGAGGCAAGAAGCGCCAAAGTTGGCCACCCAGAGGCCGCATAACTCGTCCAGGTACTAGGACCAGCATCGCCATGAACTTCGGAGACCGGGTCCTTTTTTTTTTTTTTTTTTTTTTGAGATGGAGTCTTGCTCTGTTGCCCAGGCTGGAGGGCAGTGGTGCAATCTTGGCTCACCACAACCTCCACCTCCTCGGTTCAAGTGATTCTCCTGCCTCAGCCTCCCAAGTAGCTGGGGTTACAGGTGTGCACCACCATGCCCGGCTAATTTTTGTATTTTTAGTAGAGATGAGGTTTTGCCATGTTGGCCAGACTGGTCTCAAACTCCTGACCTCAAGTGATCCGCCTGCCTCAGCCTCCCAAAGTGCTGGGATTACAGGCGTGAGCCACTGCGCCTGACCCCCAAACATTATCTGACCATACTTAGATAACCACTGTTACATAATAATTAGAACTAAATGAAATAGCTATTTTAAAACTTACTAAGATCAGGCATAGTGGCTCATGCCTGTAATCCCAGCACTCTGGGAGGCCGAGGCGGGTGGATCACCTAAGGTAAGGAATTCAAGACCACCCTGGCCAACATGGGGAAACCCTGTCTCTACTAAAAATACAAAAATTAGCTGGGCATGGTGGTATACACCTGCAATTCTAGCTACTCAGGAGGCTGAGGCAGGAGAATCAGTTGAATCCGGGAGGCGGAAGTTGCGGTGAGCCAAGATCGCACCACTGCACTCCAGCCTGGGTGACACAGTGCAGCTCTGTCTCAAAATAAATAAATAAATAAAAATTTAAAAATAAATAAAATAAATAAATAAGTAAAAACTTACTATGACCTCTTTTAAAATTGAACATTTTAATGGTCACCATAAAGGACTTGTGGATTTGAGGTGATATTGTCTCATACTGTTTACCATCTGTTCTTCAAAATTTTCTTTGTGCAGTGTAGTCTACTACTTACCATGAGTTGGTAGGATGGACAGTGGTTACTCTCGGAAAGGTTTCTGTTTGTTTTATACATTTAGAGCTGTCATCTCAGATGGGAAAGATAAGACAATAGTGAATGGCTTTCTAGACACAGACTGGAAAATCATCAAAACAGCAGACTCAGAAGAAACCACATAACTGAATACTTTGTGATGCTTGCCTCCTAATCAACTTCCAAGTTTACACGCAGAGTTTAGTACCAGGCCAGGTCCAGGTGGACAGCTCAGGTCATCTGCCTCAGTTTTCTCTCCTGAGAGGTTCTGAACAGAGGGCCTAATGTCAACAGGGTTGGGGCTGGGGCTGGGCCAAAGGACAGAATGTAGCTTTCTAACCCTTTCTTAGAATTCCTGTTCTCTTTGTGTGGCTCCATGGAAACCGTATTCCAGGGTTTGTATGGAACAGGGTTGGTATCTTTTTAAATCTATTTGAGTCTTCAGGTAGCATTTGTTCTATTTTTTGCTAGCAGTTTTTAACAATTAAGACAAAATCTTGGTTATATGTATGAATTAAATTGAAAGCTGTGTACTATCACACTGGCCTTTATTATTATTTTTGAGACAGTCTCACTCTGTCGCCCAGGCTGGAGTGTGGTGGCCAATCTCAGCTCACTGCAATCTCCGCCTCCTGGGCTCAAGCGATTCTCCTCCCGAGTAGCTGGTATTACAGCCATGCACCATCACAGCCTGGCTAATTTCTGTATTTTTAGTAGAGATGGGGTTTCACCATGTTGTCCAGGCTGGTCTCAAACTCCTGGCCTCAAGTGATCCACCCGCCTCAGTCTCCCAAAATGTTGGGATTATAGGGGTGATCTACCATACCCAGCCACACTGGTCTTTAAAAAAAATAAAAAGTTGAAAGCTGTGATATTCTTTCTAAAAGTTAAACACTAAAAGAACATGTTTAACTTTGAAATCGTTTTGTGACATGATTTTATGGAAGAGAATAATTAAATTCTAAGACTCTAGGGAATTAAAACTCAATAGTTTTAAAACTACTATAAAATAGTTTATCTCAAAGTATTTTTATTTTTCTTTTTTTTCTTTTTTTTTTTTTTGAGATAGAGTCTCGCTCTGTTACCCAGGCTGGAGTGCAGTGGTGTGATATCAGCTCACTGCAACCCCCGCCTCCCAGGTTCAAGCGATTCTCCTGCCTCAGCCTCCTGAGTAGCTGGGACTACAGGTGCCCACCACCCACCTGGCTAATTTTTGTATTTTTAGTAGAGATGGGGTTTCACCATATTGGCCAGGCTGGCCTCGAACTCCTGACCTTGTGATCCACCCGCCTCGGCCTCCCAAAGTGCTGGGATTACAGGCGTGAGGCATGGCACCCGGCCTCAAAGTATTTTTCTGTTGAGAAGTATGAAAGCCAGCCCATGAATTGCCATGGGGGAGGGCTGGGAAAAGCAGGTCATGCCAAGTACTCCACCTAGGATAACACTTCATAATTTTTTACCAGATCTTCTCACTCTACTCACTCAGATGTTGAACAAAAATTAAGACCCTAACATCTCATATCATTTTGGACAGTGATGCCCTAACTCTAACTCCTTTGAATACTGCGACTTTGGGATACACATTTATTTTTTCCCTAAATTGATAGCCAACAACACAAACACTGAATCTTGTGATTGCCATTTTCACATTGATTTGAAATCCTGCTTTATCACTTTCAAAATTGCTCATATATGGATGAGTTTTCCTATGTTTTTAAATATGGTTCTAAAGAGCTATTCTAAAAACTTACAATGAACCAAGACATGTTACTATATAGTTTCTATATCTTCCTACTGATTTTTGGAAATTTAATTATCTGAATAAAATTCAGAATCATTCAGTCTAGTTCCATAAAAACAAACAAACAAACAAACAAAAAACTGGGATCTAACCTAGTATTTTAAGTTAATTTGTTGAACACTGCCATTAAAAAACATGTATGTTCCCAACCAGAAGAATGGTACATTTTACAATGGTTGGAAATATTTAAACTCAAGAATTACCTGTAGGATGTTGTTTGGTAATTCAAAGAATAGAAAGTAATTTCATTTTCTATTTCTGCATATTGTGTTTTTATAAAGAAAACACACAATACACTTCTAGTCTAAATATATCAGCCAATAAAAATATCTTCAATGCGGATTCAACCCAGAAACCAGAGAAAACCCCAGAAGGCTTAGCAAAGGTAAGGTATTTTAAAAAATGGACCTCTTCCTAAAACCTAGAGCTAGGATACTTGCAGTCACCTAGATATTATATAATAAAACGATCTTCTACCCATGGACTATGCCTGTCTCCATGAATTAACCAATCCCCAAACTCTCCCCTGAGGCTGACTCTGTGGGGTCATGGTCTGGGGAACATAGAGTAAATCAGCCACGGTGTCTTCCAAGTCTCTTGTTCCCAGTTAGGACAGACGGACATCAAAAGACAAGTTCTAGTGTTGTGGTTTTGAGGCAGAAATGAGAGAAAGAAGAAAATAAAATTTAAAAAGAGAAAAACAAGCTTTCTGTATTAGGCTGACTCACCCTAATGGTGGCAGCAGGCAAAGCCTGGACCCAGGCAAAATCTCGATAACATTATCAAAGCACCTAAGGCTCGAAGGAACGTGCTGTGGAGACTCTCCCAGCACTCCCTCAACATAAGGATAAGAAAAGTTCCCCTTAGAATCCCACCTCCCTCCGTGTGATTGTACCTTGCTCTGCAAGTTTATGAGGTTATAGATTCCTGTTTTCTGTAACTAGTAACTTCAAGTATTCTGTTTTATCTAAGCAGCACAGTGAAAGTTTTAAGACATGCCTGAGCAGGCTTGGGCTGCAGCCATCTGGGCACCACAGCAAAGGTTATGAGATAAGCCCATGCAAGGCTCTTTTGAGCAAACCTAGATATCAGCCATCTGGGCTGCAGAAGCAAGGGTCATATGTAATCCTGAGTTATGCACCTGTCACAATTTGATTAACTGCCTTTGTTCTGCCTCTGTATCCTGGCTTTTGCATGACTACATTTTGCACCACTGTAAGCTTGTTTCAAGTTAGCCCACCCGCTTTTAGAAGTGTGTATAAAAGTCAAATGCTGTCTTTGTTCTGGGCCCAGTTTTTGGATGTTAATACTCTAGGTCTGAGTGCACTCAATAAATCGTCCTGTCTCACCCTGTGGTCTCTCTGGTCCTCCTTCATACCAGCAACAGCTTCTGTAACATCCAGTATACACAGTGGAAGGAATGTTCAAGTGTACCTGCAAAATGATACTGGAATAGTATTCATTTCCTCATTTCAACCTATTTAAAAGTACTCTCTCCATCAAAGTTACTGACACAGGATTTTTCTTAGCTACATTGCCAACTGAGGACCTCTACAGCAGGCGACAACCCCCTGCCTTGACCTCACTTAGCCCTGGGCCTGCTGCTGGAGGTGCCCCGCCCTCTTGGCTGCCTGTATTATAGCTTATACACACGTTCAGCGGTTCTGAGCACTTGTCCTGAGTCCAAGAAGAATGAGGATACACTGACAATTGAAGGGTGAGGATGGGTAGAAAAGAATTTTATTGAGCGAAAGAACAGCTCTCAGTGGAGAGGGGATGCAGGGAGTGGTCCCCAACTCCCACAGCAGGGTGATTTCTCTCCCACTGTGGCTGAGTCTGGGTCTTTTATAGGCTCAGAATAGGGGAGTACATGTTTATTGGTTTGTAAGTATGCAAAGGCACCACTCAAAGGTGGGCACAGCAGTGTAAAAACCAATGAGGAAAGGACAGGTATATGCCAAATAGGTGAAGGGTTGGGATCAATCGGATGAAAGCACATCAAATGGGAAGACAGGTTCTCAATTCAGTATGAGGATTTAGCCAGGACTGTCTTCAGCTTTAAGGTTGTGTTTCACCAGGTACCCACCACTATCTGCCTGGGCATTTGACTGCCTCCAGCCACTATCATTACCTGACCAGGCTTCCACAACCCACCATCCCCAGTGAGGAAGGACAGGGCTCCTGAAAATGAGCCAGCAATTCTCCTTCAGGTGGATGGAGATACAAGTCTTACCAGTACAGTCTCATGCACAATCACACATACAATGTCTCCACTTTGGTATCTAGCAATGGCTGACAAAGCCACAGCGCTGTGTGCATCCTCTGGTGTCTGATGAAGTATGACCTCTGGGTAAGGCTGTACCACATTCCCTGTACACATAAAGTTTCTATCCTGAGTGTGTCCTCTGATGTCTGATAAGGTTGGACTTCCGACTAAAGCCCCGCCCACACTTTCTGCAAATATAAGGCTTCTCTCCTGAATGTGTCCTCTGGTGTCTAATGAGGTGTGACTGCCGGTTAAAGCCTTGCCCACACTCCCTGCACACATGAGGCTTCCTCCCTGAGTGTGCCCTCTGGTGTTTAATGAGAGTTAACTTAGCACAAAAGCCTTGCCCACACTCCCTACACACAAAGGCACCTGAGTGTGCCCTCTTGTGCCTAAATAGGTTAGGCTTCTGCCGAAACCTTCTGCCACACTCTCTGCACATAAAAGGCTTTTCCCCTGAATGTGTCCTCTGGTGTGAGACGAGGGTGGACTTATCATTAAAGCCTCGTCCACACTCCCTGCATACAAATGGCTTCTCCCCTGAGTGTGTCCTCTGGTGTGTGATGAGGGTTGATTTCCGGGTAAAGCCTCGCCCACACTCTGTACATACAAACGGCTTCTCCCCTGTGTGTGACCTCTGGTGTTTGTTAAGGTTTGACTTCAGGCTAAAGCATTGCCCACACTCCAGGCAGGCATAAGGTTTAACCCCTGAGTGTGTCCTCTGGTGTGTTTTGAGGTTTGATTTCCAGCTAAAGTGACGCCCACATTCCATACATACATAAGGCTTCTCTCCTGTGTGTGTCCTTAAGTGTCTGATGAGGTGTGACTTCTGGCTAAAGCCTTGCTCACACTCCCTGCACATGTAAGGCTTCTCTCCTGAATGCGTCCTCTTGTGTCTGACCAGGTGTGAATGCTGGCGAAAGCCACGCCCACATTCCCTGCAAACATAAGGCTTTTCCCCAGTGTGTGCCCTCTGGTGGGTGATGAGGTTTGACTTCAGGCTAAAGCTCTGCCCACATTCCTTGCACACATAAGGCTTGAGCCCTGAGTGTGTCCGCTGATGTGTAAAGAGGTTCGACTTCCAAGTAAAGCCTCGTCCACAATCCTTGCACACATAAGGTTTCTCCCCTGAGTGTGTCCTCTGATGTGTGATCAGGTTTGACTTCCAGGTAAAGCCTCGCCCACATTCCCTGCACACATAAGGCTTTCCCCCAGAGTGCGTCCTTGGGTTTTTGATGAGGATTGACATACTGCCAAAGCTGTCTCCCCACTCAGTGTACATGTAAGCTGTCTCCCCAGTTTGTGTCTTCTGGAGGCTAAGGAGGTTTGACTCCTTGATAAAGCCTGGCCCAAACTCTTCATATTTGATTTCTCCAAATCCTGAGATTTCTAAACCATGCAATACTTTGTCTGTTTCCTCAAGGTCTGCCTTCCTTTCAGGGCTGGGTCCTATATCCACCACTGTGTTGTCTTCCTCGGACCGTGCTGGCTGTTCTTCACGTGGGCTGGAAAGTGCCTTTGAAGTGCCACTTTTGCTTACTCTCCTAAACAGGAGTCTGGAGTCTTCTCCCTCTTGAATCCATTCTGTTTTGCCACTCAAGCAGAATGGATCCTGCTGTTGTTTCTGATCTTCCAGATAGTGTTTACCCAGCTGGAGAGGATTTCCTGCCCATAAACTTGAAAACAGCTGAGAGAGATGACTCAGCCACACATGTTGGCTAAGAGCTTGCTGACTGGAGAATATCAGAGGGCAGGAGGGGCAAAGTCGAATTTCTGGCTTTGATTCTGCTAAAGAAAGAACATTTTCAGAGGGGTCATAGGTAGGGCTGTGTAGGCAATTTTGCCTTGCCCATTGGTCATTCATAATATATTTACATCACAAGCTATCTCCCAGGTAAACATACTTCCCAGCATCTATTTTTCATTTCACATCATGCATTACATTTTCTCTTTTTTTTTTTTTAAACAGAGTCGTTCCTTCACCTAAGCCAGAGTGCAGTGGTGTGATTTCAGCTCACTGCAACCTCCGACTCCTGAGTTCAAGCGATTCTCCTGCCTTAGCCTCCTGAGTAGCTGGGATTACAGGTGCCCGAGACCACGCCCAGCTAATTTTTGTATTTTTAGTAGAGACAGAGTTTCCCTATGTTTGCCAGGCTGGTCTTGAACTCCTAACCTCAGGTCAGCCTGAGGCTCCCAAAGTGCTGGGATTATAAGCGTAAGCTACTGTGCCCAGCCCTATGCATTACATTTTCTTTTTTCTTTCTTTCTTTTTTTTTTTAAGATAGAGTCTCGCTCTGTTGCCCAGGCTGGAGTGCAGTGGCGCGATCTCAGCTCACGGCAAGCTCCACCTCCCGGGTTCACGCCATTCTCCTGCCTCAGCCTCCCAAGGAGCTGGGACTATAGGTGCCCACCACGACGCCCGGCTAATTTTTTAATTTTTTTTATTTTTAGTAGAGACCGGGTTTCACCATGTTAGCCAGGATGGTCTCAATCTCCTGACCTCATGATCCACCCGCCTTGGCCTCCCAGAGTGCTGGGATTGCAGATGTGAGCCATCATGCCCACCCTGCATTACATTTTCTATTGCAGGAGTTGGTAAACTCACCTGACAGGGCAAATCCAACCTGAATCCTGTTTCTGTATGGTCTGCCAGCTAAAAATGGTTTTTACCTTTTTAAGGGGTTGAATTAAAAAGATGGAGACAGAGAAAAGAGAGAGAGGAAGGAAGGAAGAAGGAGGAGAAGGAAAAGGAGGAGAATAAGAAAGAAGAAGTGACAAATATTGCATGTGTTCTCAAAAACTTAAAATATGACGCCTGTACTCCCAGCACTTTGGGAGGCCGAGGCAGGCAGATCATGAGGTCAAGAGATCAAGACCATCCTGACCAACATGGTGAAACCCTGTCTCTACTAAAAATACAAAAATTAGCTGGCCATGGTGGCATGCACCTGTAGTCTCAGCTACTTGGGAGGCTGAGGCAGAAGAATAGCTTGAACCCGGGAGGCGGACATTGCAGTGAGCCGAAATTGCACCACTGCACTCCAGCCTGGAGACAGAGAAAGACTCTGTCTCAAAAAAAAAAAAAAAAAAAAAAAGGAGGGGACAAACAAAATGAGGAGGAGAAAACAAATGAAAGCCATCTTAATTGGAAAGGAAGAAGTAAAAAAAAAAATCTTTTGTTCACAGATTATATAATTTTGAATGCATAAAATTTCAAAAAAGCAACTAGAAGTCATAATTGTACTTAGGTCATATAAGATAAATATATAAAAAACAATTATATTTCTATATACTAGCAATGACTATTCTAAAAATGAAACTGAGAAAACAATACTGTTCACAATACCATAAAAATAAAATGCTAAGGAATAAATGTGACAAAGCAGCACAAAGTTTGTAAACTGAAAATTAAGGCTGGGTACAGTGGCTCATGCCTGTAATCCCAACACTTAGGGAGGCTGAGGCAGGAGGATTCTTGAGACCAGAAGTTTGAGGCCAGCTTGGGCAACACAGTGGGATGAAAGAAAGACAAGAGAATGAGAAAGAGAAAAGGAAAGGAAAGGAAAGGAGGAAAAGAAGAAAGATTTTTAAAAAGAAAATTAACATTGTTGAGTGAAATTAAAGCTCCAAATAAATAGGGAGACAGTCATAGACTGGAAGGCTCACTATTATTAAGATGGTGATTCTCCCCAAAATTTATCTGCAGATTCAACATAATCATCGTATCAGAACCACAGCAGGCTTTTGGTTTTTTTCCCTTTTGGAAATTGACAATCTGATCCTAAAACTTACACTGAAATTCAAAGGACATAAAATAGACAAAACAACTTTTGAAAAAGAAAATAAAATTGGGGAGTGTACACTTCTAACTTCAAAACTTAATATAAAGCTATAGTAATGAAGATAGTGTGCTACTGTCATAGGAGGAAGATGGAGATCATGGAACAAAATTGGGAGACTAGAAATGAACACTTAGATTCACAGTCAGCTGATTTTTGATAAAGGTGCCAAGGTAATTCAATGGAGGAAAGGATACTCTTTTTTTTTTTTGAGACGGAGTCTCGCTCTGTCACCCAGGCTGGAGTGCAGTGGCCCGATCTCAGCTCACTGCAAGCTCCGCCTCCCGGGTTTACGCCATTCTCCTGCCTCAGCCTCCCGAGTAGCTGGGACTACAGGCGCCCGCCACCTCGCCCAGCTAGTTTTTTGTATTTTTTTTTAGTAGAGACGGGGTTTCACCATGTTAGCCAGGACGGTCTCGATCTCCTGACCTCGTGATCCACCTGTCTCGGCCTCCCAAAGTGCTGGGATTACAGGCTTGAGCCACCACGTCTGGCCAAGGATACTCTTCATATGAGATTGTGAGGACAACTGAATATTCACATGCAAGAAAATGAATTTAGACTTTCACCTCAATTGATACACAAAAATTAACTAAAATGGATTGCAGCCCTAAATGTAAGAGCTAAAACTATAAAACTTCTAGAAGAAACCAATGAAGAAAATCTTCATAACCTTGAGTTAAGAATAAAGTTCTTAGTTACAATACCAAAAGCACAACCTATTTTAAAAATTGGTAAGTTAAACTTCATCAGCATTTAAAACTTTTGTACCTGAAATGAAAATGAGAAAATGAAAAGATAAGCCACAGACAGGGAGAAATATCTGAAAATCCTACATTGATATAGGACTTGTGTCTAGAATATACTAGAAATTCTTATAATTCAATAAGAACACAATCTAATTTTAAAATGAAGAAAATAATTGAATAGGCATTTTACTAAAAAAGATATGCAAATGGTTAATAAACAATGAAAAGGGCCAGGCATGGTGGCTTACACCTGTAATCCCAGCACTTTGGAAGGCCAAGATAGGTAGATCACCTGAGGTCAGGAGTTCTCGACCAGCCTGGCCAGCATGGTGAAACCTTGTCTCTACTAAAAATACAAAAGACAAAAATTAGGCCTACAAAAAAAAAAAAAGAAAAAAAGAAAAGATCAACATCATCAGCTATTTGGGAAATGCATTAAAGGCACAATGAAATACCACGACACACCGCTAGCATGTCTATAATCAAAATCAGTGACAATACCAAGTACTGACAAGGATGTGGAGAAACTAAAACCCTAAAATATTGGTAATAGAAATGTAAAATGGTACAGGCACTTTGGAAAACATTTTTCCAATTTTTTTTTTTTTTTGAGATGGAGTCTCACTCTGTCACCCAGGCTGGAATGCAGTGGCACGATCTTAGCTCACTGCAACCTCCGCCTCCCAGGTTCAGGCGATTCTCCTGCCTCAGCCTCCCAAGTAGCTAGGATTACAGGCACCTGCCAACACGCTCAGGTAATTTTTGTATTTTTAGTAGAGATGGGGTTTCACCATGTTGGTCAGGCTGGTCTCCAACCCCTGACCTCAGGTGATCTACCTGCCTCAGCCTCCCAAAGTGCTGGGATTACAGGCATGAGCCACCGCACCCAGCCCCAATTTTTAAAAAGGTTAAACATAAACATACCATACAACCCAGCAATTATACTCCCAATTATCTACCCAAGAGAAATGAAAACATATGTGCACACTAAGACTGGTATATGAGTGTTCATAGCAACACTATTCACAATAGCCAAAAAGTAGACACAATTCACATGTCCATCAACGGGTAAACAGAAAAACAAAATGTGGTATATCCATACAAAGGAATACTATATAGCAATAAAAAATGCATTACTGATACATGCTGCAATTTGAATGAACATCAAAAACATTATGCTAAACAAAAGAATCCAAGTATAAAAGACTATATATTTAGGCCTGGCACAGTGGCTCACACCTGTAATCCCAGCACTCTGGGAGGCCGAGGCGGGTGGATCACAAGGTCAGGAGATTGAGACCATCCTGGCCAACATGGTGAAACCCTGCCTCTACTAAAATACAAAAAATTAGCCAGGTGTGGTGGTGTGCACCTGTAGTCTCAGCTACTCAGGAGGCTGGGCCAGGGGAATCACTTGAACCCGGGAGGTGGAGGTTGCGCCACTGTACTCCAGCCTGGCATGGGTGGTGTACACCTGTAGTCCCAGATGCTGGAGAGGCTGAGGCAGGAGAATGGCATAAACCTGGGAGATGGAACTTGCAGCGAGCGGAGATCGCACCACTGCACTCCAGCCTGGGAGATAGTGCGAGACTCCGTCTCAAAAAACAATAATAATAATAATAATAAGTGAGAACTGGCTGGGTGCAGTGGCTCATGCCTGTAATCCCAGCGCTTTGGGAGGCCAAGGCAGGTGGATCACCTGAGGTCAGGAGTTCAAGACAAGTCTGGTCAAGATGGTGAAACCCTGTCTCTACTAAAAATACAAAACTTAGCTGGGTGTGGTGGCACGCACCGGTAGTCCCAGCTTCTCGGGAGGCTGAGGCAGAGAACTGCTTGAACCCAGGAGGTGGAGGTTGCTGTGAGCCGAGATAGCACCACTGCACTCCAGCCTAGGCAACAAAGTGAGACTCCATCTCCAAAAAAAAAAAAAAAGTGACAACTGAGGAATTGTATTCTAAAATGTCAGTGTTCAATAAATGTGATTCGTCACATAAACAGAATTAAAAACCATATGATCATCTTAACAGATATAAGAAAAGCATCTGAAAAAATCCAATATCCCTTCATGATAAAAATCTTCAACAAACTAGGTATCAAAGGAACATACCTCAAAGTAAAAAGAGTTATCTGTGACAAACCTACAGCCAACTTCGTACCAAACGGGCAAAAGCTGAAACCATTCCCCCTAAGAATTGGAACA